AGTTCCAGAACAAGGCGCTAGGGGACCCAAACTTATGTCACTTCTTTCCTACCCCAAGAGCTATCTACCAACCAAAATTCGTGACCCTAGCATGTCCAGAACATGAGATATCAAAACCGGAAGTTCAGCTGCAGTACCTAGGAAAGCCGCCAGGGGGCCCAAAATCTAATCATTTCTAGGTCTCATGAAGTCCTACCCACCTACCAAGTTTCATTCCAATCCATCCACTGCTTCTCGAGTTATCTTGCTAAACCACACACACACACACAAACACACCCACACACACACACACAGACAAACGCTACTAAAAACATAACCTTCTTGGCGAAGGTAATTAGACCAAGCAAAATGCGTAAAGTTCAACTTACCTTTTCGAATGTAGCAAACAGCATGTGGGCATGCCCTAAGTTTTCTGCATGTTCTATAGGTAAAAGAAAAAAAACATGATTAAACATACTAATACAATGTAGCTAAAAACTCTCATTCAGCAGCTTTGCAATAGGACATTCTATATATATGTCATTTCTGAAATAAAAAATACACAAATGACTTCTTCAGTAAGTATTTTTGTATTTCGTATACAGGAAACAGTCAGTAAGCTATTTCACATTCAAACTAGCTTATTGCATATTTTCCTAAGAAAGACCATCAAACATGTAAATGGAAGGCCTACCTTCTTCCTCCTCTACACAACACTGAATCACCATGGGGATGACCTGCTTGTCTGCATCATAGCTAAACTGTTGGTGCAAGAAAAAAAATCAAACTGTTACCAGTAATACTATATCAGTTTCCAACCAAACCACGTTAAAAGATAAAATCCTGTGAACATCTAATGAAAAGATAACCTTTACTGTAATAATGAAACCTGGCATATACAGCCTGTAGCATATCAATGGTTAAAAAGAATGACAGAGTAAAAGATTTCAGGTGCCTACATCATCGATGTTCCACATGCTGGGCTCCAGCACATGGCTGGGCAGGCTAAACATCTGACTGGCTCCTCGCTTGTAGTGGACTGTCTCAGAGGTGAGCGTTGGGTCATTGGAAGTGTACCTGTTTTAACAACAAGAAAGTGTTAAAGACAATACAGCATTTTCTTTAAACTTTTGCGTTCCAAGCTTTAATCTGTCCTCAAAGTGCAGTAACAATTGTTATGTAGATGTACTTACACAGCCAGACCATTGACAATCTCCTCTGTAGCAAAGTAGTGGATGGTGATGCCGACTTTGACATCTGTGTCAAACGTGAACTCCACGTTGTATTTGGGAGAATGTTCCTTCTCCTCATCCTCCCCTTCTTCTGGTTCAGGATCTGGTTCAACTCTGAAGAAGAAAAGAAATAAAATCCACAATCAAATTAATGAATTCTCAAGTGACAAGTGACATGCAACATTTGTAAAAAGAAGGAGTAAAGGTTTCAGTCTCATTTCCATTGCAGGAAAAGCAACAACTTTTTTTGGTGCAGTACTGAATTTAGACACTAGGGGGCTCATGTTTACCATCCTTCCCAAAGATAGGATATTCATTTCACCCGTGCCATTAAAGCTGTATTTACTACAAACCCACAAATGGGAAAACCAATCTTGAATCTACACAGAACAAATCATATAATAGCAGAGCATATTTACAGGAAACACAGTAATCCTGTAAGGTGTTTGATATCCATTGAGAGATACTGCAAGACAAGACATTATCCCTGATATACCTCTCTATCTGTTTTCTGATACTGCCATACAATATCCCCCAGCACTTGCATCTTTTGTTCCAGATATTTGCAGTTTTCGTGGAGGTCCTGAGATATTGCAGTTTGTGTTTGAACAACCCCTTAGCTGTTGGAGTCACAATTTTGTTAGAATCAAAACGAACAGTTTCTCCACAGTTTACACATACATGTATTACACATATATACCTATCAAACACAATTTATGACAATGTTTAATAAGAAAAGTTCCATGTAAGTTTTCAAAAGATTCCCTTTGCCAACTTTGCAGACCTCTTGTTGCAATTAAACAAAACTTGTCAAAAGCAACTCACCAACAGATCATAGATGTATGTAAGACTACAATAATGAAATTGTTGGTACATTTTACAACTTCAAGTCTGGCTATTCAAAAGGACCCCCATTGACTGGTGTAGGTTTCCACTGTCGACCCATTGGGGTTAGATACACAAGGTACTGTATGGCGGACAAACTTAATACTTCTGTAATGCTGGCTTGGGAGATACTGACACCACAATATTTTGTAACTGAACGCTTCGCTTCAAAACAGTCCTGCATGTTGTTTGAGATGAAAACAGTGTTGTGGGGCCCTTTAAACCAAGTGGCAATATACACATTCAACCCAGACCACTGTTAGCTCAAGATACTTAAGATGTTGCCAAACAACTACATGATCGACCAACTACATGTCGCTTAGGCACAAATGTTACACATGTACCAACAACATTCTAAAAGGACAAGTATTCACTTTACTGTGTCAAGCATATCAAGGATCAAATATTGCCTTCTCAGCTTATACAAAAAGTAGAAAATGCACTTCTAATTCTATGGTATTGTCACCAATGAGAATCATTATGTCATAAAAGACATTCTTTTGCTGTCATCTAAATAAATAAATAAATCTAAACCTGCATTTTTCTTTGAGCATGTATAAATGAACAAACGATTAAATGATGAGTAGATATCACATAAGCCTGGATAACATTTCTAGAAAAATGGGTGGGTATAAGATTTTTTTTTTACATATCATAAGGATGGGAGGGAACTGACAGGTACAGAAATCCTCCCTGCACCCCTTTCATCATCCTAAAATGGACCAGCCCTGTGCACAGAGAGCCTGGTGACTGGCAGAACAACATCTGTAGAGGTCACCTGGGGGTCAGACCCATAATAGTAACAGGGCACCCTGTGTTTACCACCTCGGAATGTTGGTCCCTGGCCAGGTGGGACCACTTGTAAACATCAGCCCCTGCCTGTAAAATGGGAACCAATCATAGCTTTGTTGCTAGGCAGAATGGCAGTAGCCTTGCAGCTTTACCTTGAGCTTCTAGGCTCTGGTGAAGAAGATAAAATATACCTCAGTCTGAGCAAAGAAAGAAGGTCTAAGCAATTACTTAAACTGTGTCTCGCATCATATACTTCAGTGAATGAAGGCACTGGATGGCTGCGCAATATGGGCGTGAGAAAAAGCCTGTTTTAGAGCTATTGAAATGCATGGCTCAAATCTAAAATTCCTACATACCTGTGCAGTGCAGGTGACATCTCAAATGACCTATGCCAGATTATACAATTCATCTTAGTCCATTGAAAATATTTTTGATACCTTGCATAACATGCATGTATGAGTCTACATGTATGGTTGGAGACATAATATCTGTGGAGCCAGGAGCTAGCCTGTATACTGGCCCTGGCAACAGTCTGGCACCCAGGCTAATGTTTAGAAGATATGTTCCTACATGTTAAGTGCCTTGTTGAACCTAGCCATACACAACAGCTGTTAACATGTATGTCAATGAAAGGATTCAGAACAGCCTAGACTGCTATTTATTGGTTACCTGGCAATATAGGAAGCTATTTCTATCTCATAAAAAATCAACTAAAGGCAAAAGCTCAAATTATTGGACACAGTGACAGTGCTTGAAAGTGTTTGTTTTCTTAAATCACAGCTGTTACATATTACACCATCCTTTCAACAACTAAAATCATGACCTTTAAAGTGAGTTATGAGTGTGTATTTTGAGAAATCTCTGTCAAACCTTCACCTTGCTCGCTATCTAACTGTTGTTTTCAACCAGATACAGGGACACACGTCTGGAATAAATAACCAGGGCATACCCTTTCTGGAGAGGTACTACTCTTTATGGAGAAAAATCTAACTAACTAAAAGTATAAGCATTATTTTTGGCATGGTGATTATGCAAGCAAGTACCAAATATGCTATGTTGCAATGAAGACTTGTAATTTTCAATGATGTTACATTCTCTACAATGAGTAACAAATACTAGATAACAAATATTAGAAGTAGCGACTAGGTTGAAAATTGACAAGCAGCTTGGGTTTTTAAGAGCACCCTAACTTCTTTCTGATGGTTCATGCTACAAAGGAGTTCATGCACATTTTGCTACTAGTAGTACTACTTCATGTACATGCAGCAGGAAACAACCCAGTTCTGATGGGGAGTGAGTACTAGTGATGGAACAGCCACTGTCCAGTCCTGCCAGCAGTTTGTTCATGAGCATAAATCAGTAAAGTGGATCAGTGAGCAGACGTGACCTCAAAACCTCAAAACAGGGACAAATGCATCCATAAAACCTTGTCTGGGCCAATAGGAGCTGCATAAACATGTTTTCTTGTGGGAAAATGCACTTTTTTTAGCTGACAGCCAAAGTCAACCAAGGACATAAACTAGGAGTTGGGAGTTATTCAGAGCTCTGTTAATTTCAACTTGATTATTTATTGGATGTTTGTTTCTTTTGTTTGGTTACTTTGAGCATAGCAATGTACTCTTTGAGTTTGAGGCCAACATGGGAGAACCTGCTGCTTAGTGATTTGGTTTTTCCAAACTGTCTCTTCAATCTGAGCTTCACAAAAAAACCTTGCGAAGATTTTTTTCAAAACATTACAGATTGTAATAGTAATACCTATCTAAAGAACAACATGGGGTCACCTTGTGCAACCATCTAAATTTAATGCAGCAGAGTTACCGCAACTCCAAAACCTCACACCAGAAGGGTGTGGTTCTCCTTTAAATCACCCTTCATTGGACAGGTACATAACCTCCTCTGTGGGCAGGCTACACTTGGTAACCATATTGATCCACTATAAAATATTCATTCTCTTCCTTTGTTGCAGCAGAAAAGGATGCTTATATAGTCCCGTGGATAAATCAATGCAATGTCATTGCAGTCGGCCAAGTTACATAACACTCCAGTTCATCTATTGAGTGAACACAAAAATTGAAGGAACTTTAGGCATTACTATCAATGACATAAACATATTTGATGACGATGATGAAACATATTTCTCTGTTTACACTCAGGGAGGGGGCCCATGTAGTCCCCCCTAAAAGATTGTTAAATGATTTGCCTTCACGTTTTCACATCTTGCTCTTCCACAACCTACCTGACTAGTCTGAGAGAGTCCTTTCTGATGTTGACCAGGCTCTTCAGAGTTTTTGTAGGTTCATTTGGCTGGGGTGCAGGGTAGGGAAACTGTGGAAGAAAACAAAGTACAAATGTACATACACATGTACACACTTTGATGCTTGGTATCTTTCAATAAAGCAAAATACACATTAAAGTCTACTTAAGTACCTGAAAAAAAATTTCTTACAGAAGTCCAATAGTTCTTTTTCTCAGGAAATCTTTTCAAGACAAAGCTTTTCTGCACCAAGGTATAGGTACAGAAGCTGAAAAACTCACTGGTAGTGGTCTGTTCCCCAGGAAATTCAGGTCTGAGTTCTCTCCAAACAGGTAGGCCTCTGGCTGGGTGGTGTCGAACCGCTCCCCTCCCATGATGAAATGGCTGCCAAAGTAGCATCCTGCGGGTAAAAAAGGACATGATGTTGAGGTACATGTGCTGGTTACTGATGACTTTTAAAGCCATTTTTATTGGAAACCTCAGATTTCACTTCCTTACCTACAGGCGTACAGTGATTGTAATACCATAAATATTTGTGCTGATTTTAGGTTCGCAGTTTTTGCACAGTAAGCATCAAACATAAATAGATATGTCTCTCAAATGATCAAAGCTACATTCCTAACTCTCACAGTTAGTTGTTATCTATGCACATTGACAGGTTCTGGCATGTTTTTCTAACCTTCCTGAACTGTGTGTTTAAAGCAGACTTTATCTGCCAGGATCTAAAGTCCTGGAGGGTAATATATTCTGAAGAGACCAGTAAAGTCGTAGTCTAGTCAGGCATGGCAAAAGGGCTATGCAATATACAAGACATTTTTGCCACTCGTAACAATTAAGCTTACAGGTACAAATACCAACAAGTCATTATTGGTACTGCAAAACCTTGATTACGAATAGACAACTACAGATTTGATTTAATTACTTCCAGAGCAATTATAGAACTACCATTGGCTAAAAAGTAGATATCATTGTAGGATTTAGGAGTCAACAATGAATGAAGTTTTACAAAATGATCCCTCAGGGCTTTGAAAATGGACTGATCTTTGTAAACTTCCTTTTGGTTTCCAAGAAGCCAGGTTACTAGTGTTGTTATATTTATAAAACTGTCCCAGATAATAATGCCTGGTTATTAATGGTAAAGTAGAGCATGGCCTTTGGGTATTATTTGCTTAAGACAACTTTCTCACCTGCTCAGGTAACAAAGTAGGTAATTTCCGCCTCCTTGTATTCTAGTTGAAATATAACTTTTGGATAAAACCACATTGCAAGTAAAAGAACAAGACATACAGACTGCACAATCCATTTAAAAAATACCAAAATGCAGTAAACGATTTAGTGGTACGACACATCTTTTCTTTGTCCTGTATTATGTTACTGATGCCCCAATCTGGTGTTTCCTGAAATGTCCTGCCTTCATTTTCCACACAGCTGCCCTAATATACAAGGACCTATATAATAGTCTTTAAATTTCACCCAAGGCCAAAATTTGCCCTTAGCTTAGCCAATACATGTACTTGTTCCTTGGATACCATTCCACTTTTAATAGAATTACAACATGTAAATGAAAATGATAAACAATCTGAAGGAAAGCAAATCACTTTAACAATCCCAAAATCTTGCTTCATAATTCTGTATAGTCTGAGTTCAGGTCTTTCCAGACAGGACTTTATCTGTAATCTGCGTGTATACCATTAAAATTCCAGTCACATACAGTCTCAGTCGCACCAAAGGCTCTCTTCAGCCATAGAATCTATCATGGCTAGGTCATTAGGTCTGCGTGAGCTATGGACAGTATTATGTAAGGACTGTGCATCTGTATTCTGGGGGTGTACATGTGCTACCCGGTATGTGATGTGATGTGCCAGGGGCTTGTAGCTCCTGAATAAACAAATGCACAAAAAATCAGTGTCGAGTGTGGCTCAGTCTGATGTACTTCATAAAATATGAAACTAAAAAGCAAACTGGGACACCATGAAGCCAGAAGAAAAAACATTTGGTATGAGCATTTGGCCATTCTAAATGTTGGAGCAGTAATGTAACATTAGATGATGAAACATCATGTCATTTGGATGCACTCCAATGCTTGCATCTCCAATCCAAAGCCATACTTGGTTAACAAATTACTATGATGTTATCCCATTCCCAGTTCACAAGTCTTGTGTGTCTAATGTAAGTAGAAGGGCAGTAGTGAGAAGGGCTTGGGAGTCTCCACAGTCCATTTCACCACTTCAAAGAGCTCAGAACGTGATAGTGGGAACAGGTGTTGACAGCTGACCATGCCTAGCAGGCCACTGAGGCAAGGCCTGGAACAACTAATTTCCCATAGGCCTTGCCTAATACAAACCTCTGATTTTGACCTAAAGTAATGTCTTCCTCTTCCAAATTTGGGATGGGGGGGAGGGGACTAAATTATACAGGATGTAAATTCCATCATTGCCACTGGCAACGTCACTCTGTTCTTTTTCTCTACATTATAGAACCTAGAAATTATTTCTGCACTTACGAGTCACGACCAATATAAATGCACTGCCCATTTCCTCATACAAACATGTGTGCAAGTTTAAAGATTGTGTGGATGTGTTTGCATCAGTTGCATGGGGACTGCGATATCTTATGTAGGCAGTGGCCTTCAAGAGCAAAATACTAAATACTAAAATAGTCTGACAGATGCTCCCCAGTCATGTGTACCAAAACAGACAGCTGAGCAGCATTTCTTGATCAGACAACGCTTCCTTCCACCTCTTGTACACAGACGCACTGACACATGAACACAGCCTGTGTGCCCTGTGGCAAAACAATTCATGCCTTCCGCAGATAATTCTGGTCATTATCCTTCTTTCTCCTTCAAAGACTCTGTGACATCTGAGTGGTCAATCCTCTGGGCAAATTATACACACAAGGCTACCTCATTATGCACTTACCAGCAGAGATAGCAGTTTGTTTACCTGTGATATGTAGAGTAGCGTAACTGGGCCAAGGCCACACCTCCACGCCTTATGCCCTTCACAAGTAATCTTTTTCTCAACAAACCAAACAGCGTTTGCTATCATACATGATTGTGGCTCGAGATACTAGTACATTTTCTGCGCATTTTTGTTACATTTTGTGCTTTCTTGTCTTTTAAATCATGCTTATACTTCTACATGTTGCATCATATTCCAATCATGACAACAAGGATTGCACAAATCTAGTTTTGGTTACTAAGTTGTATATGGTCATTCAGTGACTGACGTCTAGTACCAGGTCTTCTAGTACCAGGTCCGTTCTTGCTTTAGATAGATCAGACAGACAACAAACTCAGGGAATCAATGTCTGACACAGGACAATAGTTAGTTGTTTCAGATAAATCTGTATTTTTGCATTGGAATCAATCAATCATACCGGTAATAACCAGAAATCATAATTCAGATATGAGTATATTATATAGAGGGATTAAATCTTCATGTCTGCAATATTTTGTTTACTGTAAAATCAATTCATATCAATTCCTAAAAACTTCCATATACTCACCCTGAATATAAATAAATAGTCCAAATTAATTTTAAATCGTATATACAATTAATATTAATGCCTAATATTACTCAACAATTATGTTACAGCATTAAGTATGAAATAAAATCAGTCCTCCATATCTATCCATAAATATTCTACTCAAAATAGATAATACAGATTGTAAATTCTGCATCTCTAGAATTCTATGTTCACCGATGATTTCTTTACATGTACCATTGTACATGTGCCATTGTAACACACAACATCCAGCCATGATAGATTTAGAATGTACACACAATCATTACAACGATTAAAAGCCTCACCATGATTATATAGTATAGTCACAATCCCTTCTGCATTGATAATTATTCTGATTCTTTCCATTCGTCTTCACTTACATATAACTCATCTGAAGATGAGCACAAGCTGTCGTCATCACAATCCGACTCATCATCTGTTTCATCGTTTTCATAGTCACTGTCAATGTACAGGGCTGGGATCGCAAACTGTAACCGTGGATCTCCTCCCATGCTGACTCCCCTGGGAACCTTGCTCAGATGATTTCTGTACACCAAGTTGTGTCCGAAGGGTCCGGGTATGTTGTCAATGCATATGTTCTTCTTCCCTAACACACTGCGGCGGTAGAGCTCGTGCATGTACGGCAGCTCTTCAGGCGGTCCCTCGTACCGGTGAGCGATTTTGTACGCCAGAGTTGGTGGGTTCCCTCCCTTGGCTACCTTCATGCTTGATGAACAGGAGTACTCGGAAATATCTGTGTCAACCGGGAGTATTTCATACAAATGTAGCAGGTTGATGACTTCAGACAGTGGTACCATTCCAGCGTGCATGCCGACGACAATCAGAGTACACTCGTGGGGCTCGATAAAGCGGAACCTCAGCCTTGTTTCTGCATCCGTCAGGAAGACGTATGTACCAGGCCATCGCCAGCCAATCGTACATGGGCGCTTCGTCTGCCGTTTGACCTTCTCCAGATTTACCGCCAGAGGTTTATGTAGTACCAGTGACACAGAATAGAAAAACTCATCCAACTGCACATCAGTAAAGAAGGACACCAGGTCTTTTGTAACTGTCCGAGGAACCTGTAATTCCTTGATAGCAGCACTAATACCTACTTGATTACCGTTATGAGCCTTAAACAAAATATCGCCTACAGAATGCACGCAGATGTTAAAAAGGCTAGGGGCTGGCATAGTGACAACAACAGTGATGGAATAAGATAAATCTAGGAAAATGAAAGCAACAGGATTTTGCCACTGCACCTGCTGCTAGAGTTCTACATTCAAAACACGTAGTCCACTGGGAATAAGCCTTCTGGCACCGGAGCAGACAATTGTCCTAAGCTGAACTGAACTTGGTAAAAATCTGTCTTCTAATTTTCCCTCTCAGATGTGATTACTAGTAACTGGATGGAAGCTCTCCCTTTCATTGGCAGCGTCCTCTGAAGATAAGGTAGAAGTCACTGGGCCCAGAGATAAAGACTATGCTTGGGAAGACAGCATACACACACTGACAGGTCCTTTCTTCTCTCATGCAGCCACACACACCAGGGTCTGAGAAATCCTGTTCTTCTGGAGCTCTGTAGCAGGCACAAATAGGGTGGCAGCAGGTCACAGTCAAAGGCAAAGGATCACAGTTAAATCCAACTCCAAAGCAGCTCTATATCACCAAACCAAGTGCAAGAAAGGAAATCCCTCAGCAGCATGCAGGCTGTAAAGGCTCAGACTGGCCCACAATCACCCCTGGCGGGGCAGTTTCTATATACAGACTACAAAATTAGCATGAAGGGCAGCTGGGTAACAGTTGTCTGAGTTCATGAATTAGTCAAACAACAGTTGCCACTCTTTCTGATCAGCTGTTTACCCAAGAATAGGTCTCCAAGGAGGTGCTAAGACGGTGACAATCCCTTGCCCATTGTCTTGATAAGTACTAGTAGACACTGCAATGCATATGCACTTTACCATAAATATAACTATCCATATTATCAATTCCAATCAAACTACATGTAACATGCTTCATACAGTCAGTGCTATTGGCAGTTATTCCAACATTTTGTTGTTAGGTTGTATCGTTCAACTATATCTGTATACTAGTACTAACTTACTAGTAGTAGCTGTAGTATTATTAGTGATTTGAATGTACATGTATATTGTGTTACTTGAGGTGTATTCACATCATAGTGTCAAGTATACATAATTTCTCACAAGATCAAACGAGGAAATAATCAAATTAACTTTCTGTCTTAATATGCATTAGTTATTGATGGACCTCTAATTCATACATGTAGTAATTCATAGTTATGATTATACTTATATTGGGAAAAACAGTTCCATTTGATATGTATCTATCAATTCAATTTTACCACCAATGTAGCTGCATGCCAATGTGCACCTATTGTGTACTAGCACAGTACATTACGTATGTATTTTCGATTGTAATGTTCATGCCCAGTTTATCGAAAAAGACTAGAGGACATGCCTACAAGTACCAGGTACAAAAATCAAATGGACCCAGGTCCAACTTCTTCCCTGCAAGAACAACCCCAATTTGGAATAAACTGTCACCAGCCACAGTAAACAGCAGCTCAGTAAATGTATTCAAGACCAAGTTGGCTATAGAGTGGAAGGATCACCCTGATAGATACGGATACGTCTTCTCCTACTGAATGCCCAAACTGTCTACACCACGAAGACGGCCTCATTACCCAGTAAGGGTACCTAATGGCCTGGATTCAGATGGGTCGTAATGTAAGTCAACAAAGACTTTTCAATCCAAAGTATTTTGCACAAGAGTTACATGTATGACATTAAGGCAATATATAAAACAGAAATTGCCTGGACAAGTCAAGTGACTGCCAAAATGTACTCATGTACCCCTGCAAAGGTGCAGTGCAAAGCTATTATCAATACCTAAAATCAATTATGAAACTTAAATAAAATATAGCTTTATGATAAAGCTTTAAGTGACAATCAGGCTTCATTTACTACGCTTTCAAAGGAGTGAGGTTACCAAAATCAACAATATAATGCCTTTTTTGCACTGAGTTGAATGTAAGTCGTTGAATGTAATCTCAATCGTCGTTGAATGTAATCTCAATCACTCACAACCAACCAAGCAATCAATCAAATCATCTGTTGGCCCACTACACATAATATTTGAAAGATACAAGAACTTATGAGCATTGCATCAATACGAAATTCTATGTCTATGTCTAGAGCTTTTACAAATGTGCAAAATCAAAAAATTGAAGAAAAAAAAAGATTGTGGCCAAGGGACTAGTTTGAAAAGCAAAACTAACAGAAAAGTTACAGTAACACAGAACCATTTTACAAAGGATTCCCCACATCCGACTTCTTCATCTTGTGTTATGCGTATCTTTGTACATTTAGCATAATCCTAAACTTAAAATTGACCCATGGAAGACCCCCAAAATAGGAAAACACGCCACGAAAACCTATCGCTATGCACATAATTTTTTTCAAGTTCGACTAAGCCCTTTACCACACAGTGCATCGGTCTTTTCTTACCTGATTTCGGGGGATATCTGTAGGCTGAATTCGCCGCAATGTCCAGCTCTTCTACACCAGCATTTTGCCTACTTGTAAATGCACCCATTTTCCTGCTATCTATAGCACTCTAACATCTATAGAGATGCACAATTTTGTAAAAATGTTCACTGTATTTTTCCCATTTTCTGCTTCCCGAAGAGAAATAAGATGGCGGACGTCGATGATATGCTAATTAGCAATCCCACAATTCATCCTTCCTTTCTTTGTTTATGTTTGTCTGGGGCACATGATCTATCACAGTTTTGTTTTTACCGATTTCATAACCTTCTAATGGATTATTTCTCATCAGTGGGGCCCAACTATAGCTCCAGTATTCAAGGTTTATCACAAAATTAACCATCTCCTCAGCAAGAAAGCAGCTATCTTTCTCCTTTGACCTAAAACCACATATTAGCCAAATTGATCATTTTTTCCCTTAAAACTGGAATGACATTCACATTATTGCATTACATATGTCAGGGAAATAGTCGCCAATAATACTCGCATCTTTTTTAGTTTGACTGAGGAGATTTTTGCGTTCACGGTCGTATTTTCTACTCAGATGTGCCGGGAGGGAAAGCTATTCCTGGAAGAGCCGTGGCGGGAACACGCCCTGTTTTAAAGCCAACCAATCAGAAGGCAGGAAGTGCGATTCCAGGTGACGTCACTGCCATCAGGCGATTGCGTGCTGAAATAGGGACAACATTCGCCGTGGAGCTGTGGAGAAGGGACACTTTAGACCCCCAAAATCTTAGATTTTAGCGATGGGAGACAACTTGAGAGAGCACGTTATGATCAACCAGTTCGTCATGACGGCTGGCTGTACGTTTGACCAGGCGAAGACGCTACTTCAGAAGGCCCACTGGCAGTTTGAGGTGGGTGGCTGAGCAAAATACGATCAAACATGGCGTGTATTTGTTTTCATCATGGACACTGGTCGTTTGTCAGTATTTTCCTCTGACATATTTATATGGCTAACTCTTGCCACTCTCCTTTTGCAGACTGCACTAAGTATTTTCTTCCAAGAAGCTGTGCCCAACGCTCACGGACACCATGGCGGGCATCATCCGGTAAGTTGAGCCGGGGTTTTGTGGAGGTTTCGTCTGTGTTTTTGTTTTCGGAATGTCGTCCATGCATTCATGGGCTTTACAATGACGATGCATGGCGATGTGGGGAGGGAGAGGGCCCCAGGGGGCTCGGAATAGCGGCAGTCGTTTTATTCAACCCAGTTCTGTTAATAAAAAGCCTTGCTCACATCTGTCATCATTTTAACCTCGTAGCCATCGTAATCTTTGAATTTTTGGACAGTTGTTTGGGTCTCTCTCCCTTTGTTGATGTTTTTTACGGAACCCCACCCCCTACGGGGCCAATCCACAACAGTCGGCGGCCATGTTGCTTTCTCTTTTGCAATCATTCTTTTCCTCACAGTCCCTCACTACTTTTGGATTTTGGATTCCTGAACTGAAAATACTTTCTTCAGAAGTTAAATGATGTGCTCAAAGTGTTCCATTGTTTCATGATATGAACATGTGCCTTTGTTGATGTAACCAAGGGGGTTTAAAAAGAAAGGGCCTTTTTTTGGTGTAGAGGCATGCATGTCATAAAATTTTTCTGTGACAGGCAACTGCTGGTATTCAAATCGATCTATTGGGAGAAAAATATTGTGTTTTTTGACAATCTTTCATATTGGCTTTCACGAAATCTGTCTAAACTGGTTTGAATATTCACTGTTCTCAGGAGACTTGCAAATTTGTTCTGCTTTTGATGTATAGGTATCCCACAATTCATTCTTCTTCCTGCAAGGTGACTCAGCTGATGTTGTCACCCTGTTGTGATTTCAGCACTGTAAAAACAAATAGAAAAACTGCAGGCATAAAACAATTGGCAGCAGTATTGATTGATTTGCAGCATTATTGATTTCTTACTACATGGAAAACTGACTTAAGTTTCTATTTTGTCCTGAAAGATTGTATCTACTAGTATTCTTTTGTTGTCAGAAGGTCCTAGATTGCTAATACAATGGTAAATTCATTGGTAATATTATGTGCAGACCAATTTCTAAATTAGCCACCATGTTACTTTTAAGAACACAATATTATGCTACAGATTTGAAGCCATTTTACAAATCAATATACTGATTAATGTAATGCATATTTTGTTTTCAAAGAAGCAATGTTATTCATGGAGCCAATTATCAGCCCTAACCTTTTTTGTTTCTGAAGTATAAAATAGAAATGTCTTTGCCATTCTTGTAGGTGAGGGGTTGGATCTCTTTGAGATTGATTATGGTTTCTTGGAAGGTGTTTTGGTTGATAGTCTGCCAACTGTAACCTTGAGTCCATGGTTGTTATGAATGCTGGCAGGAAGGACTGTCAACAAAGACAGCCCTTTTGTGTTACCGTATCGCAACCAACGTTTGCATGCAGTTGACTGACTCACTAATGGGTGTTGTGGGAGTATGAGGCATCTATCACCTACTATTGGTACCAGTATTCTATGACCGTAAGAACAAATGTTTGAAGATGTTGAGTGCAGGATAGCTTCTGTCATTTCCTGTTTAGCATGGTACATGGTTGGCCTGTAGCCAGATTCGACAGACAAACATAGCCATCCAAAGGTCTGAGCGGAAACTGGACCCCTGTTTTTAAAAGTCATTGTTTGGTTTTAGCACAACTCAACTGCTGTTATGTACAACTGCCAGTGTCTGGTTCTAGTTAAACTCCCCTAAGGTGATTGTCTGTGGTGGGGTGTATGATTCAGTTTTTTTCCCCAAGGAGATTATAAACTAAAGCCTGTATTGAAGGAATGGCATAAGGCCTGTACTGTATACGTGTATGTACAATGTAGAGTGACGTGGACGACAAACATACATAAACACTGGAGGATATGCACTGAGTGCAACATACAAGAGGAGAGGGAAACTGTCATTCAAGTTTCAACCTAACATGTTTGTTTGGTTACAACTGAACATTATAACTGTAAGGGTTCACTGCTCAAATTCAGAAGGAACGTGAAGAGTTCTACCTGTCAAACAACAACAATAGTAGTCCCGTGAGTCTGGGCTCAAAGTCCAGTATTGGAGATCATCTCCACCCAGTTAGCTTGCCTTTCCAGTTTTTGGTCTCTTAGTTAGTATTTACCATGGAATCACTGCATTGTAAAGCTTGAATCTTACTCCTTCTTCTATTTTAGGCATTTACACAGTTTCATTCAAAATTGTTTTTCAGTCCATTAAACACTAACCTGTCCATAAGCCCTAATTCACCTAATTCAACAATTCAATAACTTCTTTACATCCTGTTTTGTTCCCCGCAGATGTGTACGCCAGCCAACACGCCAGCCACGCCGCCTGCCTTCCCAGACACTTTAACAGCGTTTTCCAAGCTACAAGCATCAGACACCGGCGCCAGTCCTGGGACAACAAAATACAGTTGCAGCCCTGTCAGCCCCCTAGCTTCCTCACCTCCAAATAGCCAACAACCCATGGAAGTAAACGCACAGAGATGAAAGGAACACACGGGTACTATTAAACGGCACAGCTTACCATGCAGTAGAAGATGTGGAATGGCTGTCTTGTATACTTCTGATGAAATATGGACTAGTCCGAGAGAAATATACAAAAAGGGATTAGGAACTATAAAAAAGGCACAAATCTAGATGGGGCTAATGAAATTGTATGTAGGAGGCTGAGTCAGTCGATTACCACGCATGACAAGTAGGCAGGGAGAGAGATGACGTACTGGTCAGTTAATGAAATGGATCATAATTAGGGCCTTGTTGCAAGGATGTGGAACTTTAAACCAGGTGGTACTACAATCAAGGAGTGATGAAATGATAAGAGATGTGTTTCTTGACATTGAACGCTGAATAATTATGTCTCAGGTGATATTACACTGTAACAGACGTGTACATACGTGTGTAGAGAGAAAGATGAGCTGATGAGAGGGAGATGTAATGCAAAAAATTTTGTAAAGACTTTTCAGCTGTGGCTGGGAATATATACAAGGATGTTCTGTTTCCTGTTATATAGATAGGTGTTATATGTGTGTATCCTTATAATTTTGTTATCTATGTGTGTGTGATAGTATTTTCGCCATGATAAGTGACTACAGTTCTCTTTTTTTTATGCTAGTAACCAACTGTTGCATGTTGCTGTATTTTGTACTTTTTCTGGGATTCTTGTTTGGTGTTCTAGACTCAGTGGTGAGGTAATACACCACAGATGCAAGTGTTTATATGTAGGCGAAAAATGCCCTCAGAATTGTACAGAAATGCAGTAAGAAGAATATCCAGAAACTTATGATAAAAGCGTAGACTAAAAGACATTGAAATACCCCTCAAGAACTCCTGCAATAAAAGATTCCATACACACAAAGTGAAACCTCTTGTGTTTGTTTCCTGTGTATTTATGGTTACTATTAGGTAGTATGATATGTTGTAAGTGTTGACATGCAGCAAACAGGAATATATCCCAATGCATTGATTCTACTCCACAGACTGAAACAGTCAATACTTCTACATTTAGGTATATATTGCATTGTTTAATCCATACCTCCCTCTTGTGCTCAGAAGCCAGACTTTGGGTGATTTTCCATCTAGCGCTGGACTAAACTTGTGCGAGTGATGGTAGGATTATGTAAGTCAATACATTACAGTCATGGTCAGTATGTGCAACAGCCTAGGCCACAGGGAGTGACCTAATAGTGAGTTGCCCAATGATGTGGCAGCTGTGAATTCCAGCAACTAAAGGGTTTTATATTGGTGACATGTACCCTCACTGTACTGTACAAAATACACCAATAAAGTCAAAGGGAATGTGTACTTGCATACTGTCACATTTCCTTGGTTTTCAAGTAAAACAGACAATACAGGGTTGGGAGTAAAAATTGAATGTAATTCTCATATTCGAACAGCCAAAATTCAGACTTTGCCCCTAAGAGTTTGTCTTGCTGTTGACCTGCTGGTGAAACTTTTTTTTTTTTCAATTTCATGGATAGGAACTAACCCATTTTATTATTGGAGTGGCCTTTGAAGAGCAGGTTTTCTGTTCACTTACCAAACCTTTACACACTTACCAAACCTTCTACCATCTCTCTCGTGCCTTCTCTGTGGAAACTGATCCACTCGCTCCATGTTATACCTACCAGCACAAATAAGCTTTGGTTCCAACACCCACTGTCAACCTATTTTTTGCTGAATTTTTGCATGTATTTTTATGGCTAATTTTAGACACCACTTGTCCCTATACAACCCTGCTTGGGCATAGGTCAGTTTCATGCATCTGTATGGTGATATCAGTGTATACTTGCTCCTATTAATCAACGTTTCTTGGGTACTCTGTATTGGGGGTAAATATAAAGCATAAACTATAGCAAGAGCAATTTGCAATGCCAAAAGACATAATATTCTCTTCCATCTATTTTACAGATTGAAATCCACTGTATATATATAAATATATATATACAGTAGTGACAAAGCATTTTTGCACAAACGTACATATAATCGATCCCATGCTAGATATTGCCAACCTATGGTGACTACACAAATTTGACTGACTACATGTATATGTCATGACCTGTTAAATGTTGGTTCTTGTTTGCACAATGTCCACATGTTGTAAGTAGGGTGTGACCCAGTTTCTGCCATGCATGACTCTCAATACAAAGTCCACGTCAACAATAATGTTTACCCCATCATCTTACTTCTTTCTTCATTTGAAATGCTTTCCAATTTGAGTATGACATTCTGAAATCATCTTTTGTATAGTAATATGGCTCTTTTTCGGAGTTTTTTTTTCCTGGGGCCAATATACTGAAGTGAAGAGCACGGGCAAATAAGGATATCTTTTTAACAGGTCAACAAGCCTACTACATAATGTCCTTTTCACCTCTGACCTCAATCAACATGTAACAGATATGTTTTTATTTTGCTGTCATTCGGACTGTTTGGGACAGACCAATATCGCTTGTATGTAGGAGTGGAATGTTAATGAGGAATTAAAAAAAAACAACTTGTTAAGAAAAACTGACAAAACTTTGTCACAGGTAGATGACCCCCATCCTGTTTGGATGAAATTTTATCATAACATTCACAGTTTGGAGTGACAGCCATTGCAAGAGCTTCTTTAATACGTCAACGGATGCTCTGAGCATCATAACAAGCCATATTTGTTCACGGTTTGCAGCAGGTTACTAGTATCAGTTCTTTAAGTATGTTTTGTAATTGTGTAGGTTCCCTGACATCACCATATGTTAGTTACACCATAATGGTTTCTGGCGTCCTTCAACTTGAGAATCATGAAAAAGGACAGATCAGAGTTGTTGCGTGCAACATTGTATGCCCATATGACACATTGTGAATTGAATGTAACCCAGTGTCAATCACACTGCGAGATTTCAATAAATAAATCGCGAAGAATTAAAATTCGGCACTGCTTCTGATGGTGCTTTATCTACTTACAGGGAAGGCCTCAAAGTATCTAATTGAAGATGGGAAAGTATGAGTACGTACAATCTAGTGTAGTTGTTTTTATTTTATTTTCAGTCTGAGAACACGCAGCAACTTTTGCAGATGACCATTTGTGAACCTTCCCTATATCAGCCAGACCGTGACAAGCGAAAGAGCATCGCAATCTAATGAGACACACTGGTGAGGTTCTATTGTAGTATCAGAATTCTAAATAGTAAATGGATCCGGATAATCTTCAACCAAAATCAGCGTCCAAAGTTTGAGCATGGACATTGGCACTGTATAAATGATTGTAATGGGTTTGCAGACAATGCCTTCTTCGCTGTGATATTTGGTCATATTTGTTCAGTGAGTCAGGCACGACATTGAGTCAAGGGTACGGTACCAGCATCAGTCAGTGCTGTCGGGGGTAATCCGTGATGGCAGTGGGTGATGGAGTTGACGGCTTTGAACTTTCACCGTGCAACATCGTGCTAACAGCATATGTTCTGTCTGGCTGCCTATGATAGCACGCAAGATAAACAATCCTCGGGCCAAGTTGAACCTTTAGTTACTAGTATCAACCTTTTCGCACCTGTGTATGTCTCAGAAGTAGTTTCAGAAGCTTTCTAGTTTTTTCTTCACAAATTAGGACATACATTTGCACTTCTGATAAACATGATGTTGTTTGTGTGAAAAATGAAAACGTGTGTGTGCTGTGACATGGGGCATTGGAAATTCGTCTCCTGACCGAATATTCTATTTTTGATTCATCTATAGGTCTGGATTATTATTGAGTTACTGGATGTACAACGTACGGATTCTAACAAAGCTACTAACTAAATTGTATTGCACGATGGCGCAGTTACAATGAGGCGTAATGCCACATCCATCCGCATCAGATCAACAGTTCTCTTGAACACACGCAGACAGGAACAAGTGACGCACGCTTCATACCGGATGACGATGTGCTACTGACGATATGAGATGTCGGCAATGACTGATAATTATTTTATTACCTTGTTTCCTTTTAACCCAGTTTATTTGATTTCTTTCAACCTTCCACCCTCCTCCAAGTCCATCAACTTTAATACTAGCCAGTCATCCACAAGATACGAAAATAATACAATTTTCATTGATCGTCATTCCAACTCACTCAGGAGACTGAATGGAATATCCGTTAATAAGCAGAAAATCAAACATTCTAAAATCATAATTCTAACCTCTTGTTAGATGGGCGAGGTTATTTGGATTTTGGTCCATCATAATCTTTATCATCACAAATTAGAATTAAAAAAATTCCCCACAACATGACCATATGACCACAACATGACGAGATTATGCCCTATTTATATAACCTGCATATTTTTATATTCTTGAGATTGTGTTCGACTTTTCGATGTTGAATGACACGCAGGCAAGATGTTAGTTAATTAATGGCAGGGATATCAACACGTAAAACCATATATTGCTGCAACGAGACACCATGCGTTTCTATAGACGTTTGTATATATATACAGTACACCATCCATTTGTGTGGTGATAACTGCTATAATAAGCCCTAAAAGTGATCAGAAACAAATAAAGCCGGTTATCCTTGTTATGATCCTTGTCATGACCGCGGTTTCATCCTATATATACATTGAAAGTTTGACCTTTGGTTCAAATGAGATAGGATCGAAGTGTAATTACGGACTGGAGTCGTCTGAGGGCATCACAGCTGATCCATACACAACATGACCTTCTCAGTACTCTCCAAACAGAGCATAGGCTTCGGCTTATTTTTGGCGTGTTTTGGACACGTGCACTGCCCTGCCTCTTTGATACTGTCTTATATAGCCACAAAAACCTGCTTGGAGATTACTTCTCAGTACCGGCGGGTAGGTGTATAATGTAAAGGCCAAAAACTCATTGCACACCAGCACGAGAGCGTGTCTGTATCCAGGTACTTAAAATGAATATACAAGAGGATGTGAAAACGCTTCACCAGCCAAACTCACACTTGAACCTGTCCTTTAGCCTATTGAACTTGTTGAGTACAGAACGAAGTATATGATCGCAGGCGACTCTTGGATTAATCGTTCATTACTTACAAGTTACAACCATACAGTCTAAACACAGGTTTAAGAGAGCAAATGCATGCCATACTCCCAGATGTCCCCGGAAGAAAAAGCTCTACGTGAGATATGGATAATTTGCTACACTTATACATGCCATGATCATCGACAAAAACCGACAGCAGCTAGCATGTCCTGAAAATTCATACTGAATCTGTCGAGAGGATGTTTATTGTTTAGATTAATGTTAACATGTAAACAAACAGTTGGCCTGAAACTTGAAGGTTACCAACCCCGGAATTACGCGTCAACGCTTAACAATATCATCGTACGTTGACCTTGTGCGATCAGATGACACGTCGTTTGAAACACAAAGGTCGTTTCAGAACTAAACGCACTTTTCTGAGAAAAAAATCTATTTAAAGCCTGCTTGTACTCGTAACATTTTGGTAAAAGTTTTTAAAAGGTTGGAATTGGGGGAAGGTATCAGATTTTCAAACGGAAGTGGTTTGCGAGCGGAGGCAGCTGCTATATTTCAAAGGTCGTCTGAAGGTTATCTAAACCCACGCACCCACGTCCAGATTTCTGCTACTGTACGTCTGATATCGATAGCTAGACTGATAAAGAGGGGAGGTTTTCTTTTTTGCTTTAATAGGCGTCGCTTTCATTTCTTTTCAGTCTCACTAAAATGTTACTATCATCTTTAGTTCCTAATCCAATGGTAGGGCCGGCCAGGTTTCCTTTAATACAATTGCCCTTCTCTTACAGATCCATCCGGTCGAACATTGCAGATGAAATATTCCTTATAAATCTTTATTACACATTGCAATCATATCACAGAAACGTTAACATCAGATAAATCTGTAGCTAGACGTTTCTAAATCTTTTTTATACTGACATATCTGTATGTTCCCTTGCAATTAGCTTGGAGGCATGAGTTTGCAATGAAAGTTTGAATTATAGACGTGTTTGAAATCTGAACCTCGAAATGTGGGGTTATATAACAGTGGGGTCAGTCAACTTCGCCCCGGTGGGTGGTCATCAGACAAATCAGTCCTCGGGGATTAGGGGATGACCGTGACCATGGGATGAACTTCAGGGTCAACGCCGAGTTTAGAATTTCATGAGTCCCTTCATTTACTGTATCCTGCACAAGCCTTGAATTTCTCTCACTAGATGGAATATTCAATGTTGCCCGCCCTTGATACAAGTTCCATTGTGTTTCGTGTTTCCGTTGAATTGAATTCACAATCTATATCTTTAATTAAGACTTATTATATGTACTTGTATTGACCAACAATGGTTACATCGGCGTTTTCTGAAATGGGTACCCAGAATTTAAAATCTACGCGAGGAAGCTGAAAGAAAATCTGAGAAACTGTAACGTTATGGGTTGTACAATTGAGGTAGGTGTGATAGGCACAACCCTGGGTCAGCATCTTAGCATTTTCTTTTCACTTTAAAAAGTAGTGTTTTCTGCTGACTGCTACTAGACTTTACTTTGCGACTGACCTCGACGCCAATCAAAAACGGTAACGACCAGAGAACGGCACCAATCAGGAAAGGTTGGCAATTAAATAAGGACCTCGAGCGGATGTCAAAAACGAGTAGCAATCAGAGAACAGTATATTGAATACTGACCGCAAATTTCTAACACATCAAGAACACGACACGTGGAATATCGGGGCACGTGGATACATCGCACCCTTCAGGTGAATGTCCTACTGTGAGATGACGTAAATCCAAACAGGAATAGATGCGCAACGCCCCTTTTAATTTCACACATCCTTGTGCCGTAGGTTGTTATACAACGACAAATGCCCTATAGCTACAGGACATTCAGGGGTCGATTGAGCGCACTGTCCGACAGGGTACAAAATGGACTTGTGGCGCGCTCACATTCACCGTAGGATTTTGATATTGTAGGATTTCAAGCAGGCTGTGAGAGAAGCAACCACTGACAAGGATCTAAGACAGACTTTTCGCCAGCAAGCCAGCTTGAAATTCTGTTCAACTACAGGCCGCCAATGCATATGCCAACTTGCATGCCTGATCCCAAATATGTCTGCAATAGTACGAGAAATGTCACCAGACAATGTTTCTTCAACAATGAAATTAGTAACTGTGGTTTCAGTGAGACAAACCGTGGTATAAATCCGCTGTGAATATATTGCGAAGTTTGTCCTCCAGAATGTTGACCCTTGATGTAAATAACAAGCAATCCCCAAGGCTAGGTCCCACACACCTGAAAATATAGTGGGCGGAACCTGTGGTACTTTAACAAATTTACATTTTGTTCTTTTCTTGTTCTCCTGTGTAGATACGTTATTTACATGTACAACACGGAACCGTTTATTTTTCAGCGTAACCACCGCAGTTGACGTGAGTAGCGAAGGGAACTTGTGGCACAGAGACAAAATGACAGGTCGCTTGGAAAGGACAGGGGAAAAGGCAACGGACTCGACATTGTACAGGAATTAACGATGTGGAAAAATTGGGTGGCAGATCGAGTGAGTTCATCGGTGAACTCACTGAGTAACGACAGGGTGACGGCCCAAATTGAACCAGAATAGACAAACCGCTCAGGTATATTAGCAATAAGTATTTGGGCCTGACGCAGAGCAATTGTGATACCACTGTGAACCACTAGATGGCGCTATGGCTCAGCCATTTTTAAATGCCTGACAGAACAAGAAAGGCATACTATTTTATGTGGTTGAGCCAGAAATCTCCATTGCAACGCTTCAACGATTGTCTAAAAAGAAGAAACTTAGCCAATTGCATGTTAAAAGTTAAGATGCTTTATTGACATACAAGGTATGAATTTCTTAATCTAAACAAGTAAGACTCGGAACACTAGTATGATCATCCAGCTGTATATCAACATAACATATTTCAACATAATGATTAGTAAACAACATCTTGAAACATGACCTAACTAACTATGTTTTCCATATATTCAACTGTCTATGCTTGAAACAGCTTTCTAATGTGTAGCTTCTAATCTCTTCACTCTAACTGTAATGCATTGTGATAAAAGTACAGGGTATCATCTTGAATCTATCTATAATTTCTGTTGGGGTTAGGTTTGTTTCACAATTTGTTGCAGTGGCAATCATCCTTACAGTAGACATAATGAACATAACATTTATTAACTTAAATAACTAACACAATTTCATAACTATAATATCAACCAACAGAGTGAGCTTGCACATGTTGAAAACATTAGGATCACATAATTCATACAGTGCACGGCCAGTCACTTTGGAGATGGTACATTCCACTGCTTGTAGCATAACAATACACATCTCTGGAGAGCATTGCACAGTCTCATGTACTGAGCACCAACGTTTGGGAGAGAATGCCACATAATGTGTATTAGAATCTATCTTCCCTACTGATCTCATCATCAACATAATTACCAAGAATCTTTTTCTCCTATCATTGTGCATCATGTAGCAAAGATCAAATTTTATTAATATGCCATCATTTGTCTTGAGTAATATAGCAAAGATGTTATTTTCCATGGATGTATAACTCTAAAAATTTGTTTCTTGCAAGTCTAGACCCATCAACGAAAACCACTGCAACAGACAGCGGTGAGAAAAACAACTGGAATTCAGATTGTCTGATTTTAATAATGACAACAGTTATATTATATACAGCTGTTCTCCTTCTATTATTAACTGACAGACTTCAGCTCCACTTCAAAGATGAGTTTGCTGTTGGCTGGGATGGGGCCGACTCTCTGACTGCCATACCTGCAAGGAACAACAGGGGGCGCTTGTGAGTTAACAACTGGTGAGATCAGGAAAAGTCATCTTCATCTACCATTTCTAAGAATATTTCAATATTTCACTCAAGTTCATCATCTGAAAAATAACTTTTTTTGTGTATTTTTGTTCATGACTTATAGATGACTTATAGCAGCAACAGTAACATCATTACCTTAATGTTTACTTCATATATGTATGTGCATGTGCATATTTTGCATATTTTTAGATCACATTGAGGAGTTCTCAACATCCTGTGACCTCTTAAATGGATTTTGTGACAATCAATACTGCAGCCATTTTTCATGCACCAAATCAATATACAATAACCAACAGTGATGTCCACAACATTAGTTATTGACAGACATCTGGTAGGCTGAGTAAAACTAGGAAACAACAAAAATTTTTCAATAAAAATACCCAAATGACAGAAACAAAAAGTACAGTTATAACTTATGCGTTTGTATATACTTATAAGGCCATGGGAGAATTGGATGACCACAGGAATTCAAGACCTTCCATTAACAGTGCTCACATGAGATGTACTTATTGATTTCTGCCATCTGTAACGCCAGCAGCCTGCTTTAACTGACCACATGGTAGACATATAGTCATCCATTGATGCACTCACGAGGGAGAAAAGATTAAACATCAGGCAGAGTTAAAATAATGGACAAAAAGAAACAGACTGGCAGCCCCCAGTCCTCGTTTCCCAAGACTTCCTGGTATCATATACCAGTGGATACTAGCACTAGCCTAAGTATGGTAAATGCTCTTCTAATGTTGCAACTGATTTGAACATATGATCCTTTCCCCAAGTGTTTTTCAAGTACACAATGTATATATATATATATAAAAAAGTATCTTACGCCATTGCAGGTGGGATCTCCAGTCTCCTCTTTCCTCCAATCTTCATCCCTGAGAACACAAAAAAATTACATATTTTTCTAAGTAGAATAAGTAGTTAGGTTAGTAAGAAACAGTTACATGTAATGGGTGTTCTTAAAAATAGTACATAATATTATACATGACTGATAAGTGTTAACAAATGAACATTCATGATATTAGTGCTTCAAGTTAAGTCTCTACTTTAGAGTACAAGTTTCATGCTATATGGCCTTCATACACAGCCCTATAATGTTGTTATACCATCTCACTTTAGACCAATCACTTCCTTCTAGTAAGTTCTACATGATTGCCCAGTGCTCAAGTTCACAGTGACATTAACAAGCCCTGACCTTGTACACCCATGTCCCAGCCCTTGATGACCTCTCCGTGACCCAGGGTGAAGGTGAAGGGCTTCCCGTTCAGATGGCTGTCGAAGTGCTTGTTGTTCTGGGCGAGAGTTCCCTTGTAGTACAGACCAACCTGGGAAAATACAAGCATCAGTCATACTGGAGACAAAACAACAGCCTGGTAGACAGATATCACACAAACACAAACTGGAAATAACTACACATTTCTTGACACATTAAAAATAAATGCCATGTCAATATTCTTTCTGGTTGAGTTAAAAAAACTGTAGGTTTCAAAAAAATACAGCTATACCAATTACTTTACTTTTTGTACTTTCTGTATATGAATTAATGGAGGTAAAAATCACATGGTATATGTTAGTACTAATACATACATGGTATATGTTAGTACTAATACATACATGGTATATGTTAGTACTAATACATACAATTATACAGAATCAAAGACTTTTGGCTATCACTCTATATTCATATTTAATGACTACATATATGTACTTTTTGTTTAAAAGTACATGTAGGCATCAAACTCCTCACCCTCCGTCCAGCCTTTGCAATCTTGCCCGTCCCCAGTTCTCTGTCCAGAACAACCAGCCCTCCTGGAAGAACCTGTTTCCCTGGGGTGCCTGCCTTCTTCTTATTGCTGTTAGGCCTAAAAAATGATAAAATAATGGTCAAAGTTAGTACTCATTATAGTGTAACCATTATACACGGCTGGGATCACCACAAAGTTGAACTTGAAATTTGTCAGCTGTAAAGTTTAACCAACTCTAAACTCACCCTGCTGCCTGCTCATTTGCTGGTTGGGGTTTGGCGCCGTCCTGTAACACACAATTAAATACACGAAAACGATTGTCAGAACATCAAAACATATTGCACACTATTCTTTGAAACTTCCTTAGGAAGGACACACACATGTACAGTCCTAAGCTGTTATATATGTATTATATAGTCTTTGGCAACCCCCAATGGCAAGAACATAGCAATCAACCATAGTAATCAACATAACTAAGGTCCTAGAAGGATACATAGATGCTGGTTTGTGTACTACCTGGAACTCTTTCCCTGACTTTCTCTTATTCTTCTTCTTCTGGGATGCCGTTTGTGTCTGTTCAGTGGGTGTATTCTTAGATGGAGATTCTCCATTCACAGCTTTGGTCTGAGCAAAGGCAAAATGTTGTTTAACCTTTAGCACACTGAAGGAGCCATTCAGCTATATTTTGTTAAAGGGTTAGGTGATGGTTAAGATATACATTTATGCGAACATCTAATGTGAACACATAGTGAACATATCAGGACATCTATCTTCGTTATGTTATTTGGGTATGAACAACGTAAAGAACAAAGCATATTTCTTTGCATTTTCATACTAAAGTCTTAACAGTTGGAGAAAAAAAGGTGTACAAACAACCTGAGGAGTCTCCTTCTTTGTCTGAGGAGCGCCCTTCTCTGTCGTCTTCCCCTGCTGCTGGGCTTTCTTCTTCTTCCCTGTCAGACTCTCCCCAGCCGGTGTCTGTAGACATGTCATGGTTTCACAGCCATTAATTCATGTACAAAGCTTTCACTTTGTAGAAGAGCACAGACATTAAGTGTACCTTGAATGACCAGCAAGTTCTCAATACAGTGGTCAAGATTTTAGTAAAACTAAAACAGCAATGTAACAATGCACCTTCAATTACATTAATGAAATTAATTGTTCACAGAAAATGTAAGAGGGCAACTACTAAGTGTACATGTGTATGTAGAGTGAAATTCACAGAAGAGAACAGTGAAATACACAGAAGAACAGTATTACTTGCCTCTACATCTTTCTTCTGTTTGGCGGCAGTCTTTTGACCTTGAGGTTGACCTTTCTTGTTGGACTTGACCTGCTGTTGTGACCTCTTGAACGTGACCTCAGGGGTGTCTCCGGGAGTGGACGGTTCACTGTGAGTGGTCTCAGACTCCTCCTCTGAAATGGGAAGTTGTCAAAAAGTGTTGCAATGTTGGGGCCAAAAATGTCATTCTTGCCTTGTTCTACCACCGCCCCATCAGAGTCTTCTTGTCTTATGTATGTGGCATTTCTTTAATCAGAATTTATACTGCACAGATAGAGGACTTTTAAAATTCTGACTAAAAATTTGAGATCAAACTGACCTGCACTGTCCTCCCCACTTGCCGAGTCACTCATCTCATTTTCCTCAAAGTCAAGGACACCTCGCACACCGTCCATACTGGTCTCTGCCTGGACTGTATGAGGCAGGGATGGGGGGGTGGTAGGTACATAAGGATGCTACTCTGTCATTAAAATATTAGAATTCAATGACAAGGTCACTAAGTAGACTGTAGCTTTTCACTCTTCCCCCCATGTACATCTCAAATTTTATCTGTTTATAACAAACAACAGTTTATAGGAGGAAGAAGAACTTCTCAGTGCGAGGAAGTACAAATGTACCTCTGCGGTCAGAAGTTGAGACAGGTTTTATGATATTTGCTGTAGTGGTTGTTATCTACCACCCACCTTCTTCTTCACTGTCTTCTTCCTCTTCCTCACTTTCATCCTCATCATCCTCATCTTCATCTTCAAAATCAAACTCCTCTGAGTCTTCTTCGTCGTCTAGCTCATCTGACAACTCTTCCTCCTCTTCCCCCTCCTCATCTCCAGTGCTGGGTGTAGATGTAGATGATGATGATGCTGACTTCTTCCTCTTCTTCTTGCCCTTCTCTGGTACACCCACTCTCTTCCGCTTTTTGCTCTTACCTTTAAAGAGAACATGATAAACAATTACACAGCTTTTTAAACAATGCTTAGAGTTAGATATGCAAAGGCTATGTGTAATAGGCTGTTTGGTGTAATATAGTCAGCTCCCACCACACCACATGCCTGCAAAGCTGGTGTTTTATACATACAGATAAAATGACAGATATAATTTGTTAAACAATTCTGATGGACTGAAAGCAAAAATTATTGTGAAAACTTCCATCCACATTGACAATGGAAAGCTCTTCAAAGTGATCCCACCTGAATTTGGGGCCCATTCATCTTCAGACTCATCCTCTAGCTCATCTCCAGCAGTTAAGGCGTGTAGTGACAATCCATCTGCATACAGACCAGATACAACAAGTTACATTTGTATCGTGGCTATATTTCATGCACTAAAACATACTTGGTTCTATTCACTTACATATGTATGTAGTTAGTCAATTCTGTTTTCTGTGTCATTTAATCAGTACTGCAACCATCTAAATATCCATTTATTTTTTTTAACTAGAAAAATTAATCCTTCCAAATCCGTCATGACTGAGGTTGTTAAGTTTATCAACCTTACAAAAAAAAAACAACAAGGCAAGATAGTACAATATACTCCTTTCATGACTTGCATAATTTATGACGTACAGTCAAAACTGCCCAAGAAGACTGCTCGGGGCACTGATTCTATGTGGACAAGTGGTCAATACAGACAGGACTTGTGTCAATGGATAAGGAACATCTAAGGGACCACAAAAATGTGTTTGCATTGGCCAGGTGGTAGTTTTGTAGAGATCAGGCCACTTGTACTGGTTTGACTGTATTTCAAAGACAGAAGATGTAACTGTGACAGAGAGACTTACTTGGGACCTCTTCGTCTTCACTTGACTCCTCTTCCTCCTCCTCCTCCTCAGAAGACATCTCCTCGTCCATATCACTGTCTAACATGACTTCCTCCGGAGGCATGGACTGGAGCTCTGCCAGGTACCCAGTCAGGTGGAGAGTCCCTTCTTTTTTGGAGGGAATATACAAATACACAGACTTATTTGTGATTAATTTTTCGTTTGAATAGGTATAGCATCAATGACAAAAACTTTACGCTGTAATTGTTTTTTTCATAATTATCAAAAGTGATCTACTTTTCTTGTAAGTTTGAGCTTTTTTTTGGTTGTTTTCATCTGCTTGCTTCTACCATGCACCACCACCTGCCACACTAGCTGCACCTCTTTCCCAGGACGCAATGTGCCGTGAGGCACTTTGTCCTGTAATACAATGTATGTAGCAGTAGAAATGTCGCTTAGTGTTGGCTAAAAGCAAAGACTGAAATTCAAGTTTGAGTACTTACTGTCACTCCCCTCCATGAAAAAGCTGACCTCCTCTCCCTCACAGAAGCGGAGGTCGAGTGGCTGGGAGTACTGTCTCAGACTGGGGTCCAGCGTACAGAGGACATAGTCCTGCTTGTTGTGCCGCACACGCAGGATGTACACACCATCGCCTTCCTTGCCTAAGAATCATTAAATGTCAACATCACAGGACACAATGGCAGCAAGCAGGCCTTGCACGAATAGAGGCCAAAACTTGAAGCACCTATGCTTACAACAGAAGTGTTGTAACCTCAAAATCTATCATAAGAAACTGAAACTTAGTTCTCTATCATCCATCCTAGCCTCCTTTGCAGACTTCTTGGAGCTGCACCATTTATTTTTTGGGGGCAAGCATTAGATATGCAATATTTTTACACTGGCTAAGGCTCTCCAATGTGACAGAGGGAGTTATGGTGCAGAGGGAGTTTTGTGTCTCCTATCATCTACATTCATCATATATCACTATGACTTATATTACTAATTTAAAAGTATTTAAAGCCTACAAGCTGGCAGTCCTACTTTTGATGGTGAGTGGATCCAGAGTTGCCTTGGTGATGTGGAACCCCTCCTCCACTATCTGAGTGTACTGCTTACCAACCTCAAGGGTCAGACCTGTAATATAACATACAAATCTGTAACTAAGGTCTAAGGTTTAAAACCAAACTTTGAATTTTGATAAAATCATCAGAATCTTCATTTGTGAATGTTAGCTGGCAAGTCCCGGGGGAAAATGTGACCCAACGTCCACATATAGTAGCCTGTTCTGGGCAACAAATACTGTCAGTAACGAACATCAGATTCATAGTCACATGGTGATGACTACAGTTACTTCCAACCCAGGCATGCGCAGTTGGAAGACAATATTTTTTGCTGCATGTGAGAACGGGTAGTTCACGGCTTTATCATCCCTGACCACTTTCCCTGAACATCATCATGGCACCGGCACTCAGTACGAATGACCTTAGGAGAGGTAAATATTCTTTTTACGATTTTTTCTAAATTAATCCAACCTATCTTATTTGAACATTTGCACCATTACTAGGTGTTAATCTTCTCCACTAGAAAAAGGTGTAACACTGACAGAGAAATTTGATGCATTTTATTGATGAATCATTGACGGGATCAGAGAAATGTCTTACCTTCTTGGAAACTGGCTTTGTATGTAACGTTACATTCATATTATAATGTGCATGTAAAATGCAAATGAACTATACATGTACTTCAGAACACCCAGTACAGCACCATGTATCAACAGAAGTCCAAATCTTTTCTAAACATCTGTTTATGATAACTGTTACAGTGTGTTGATTGTTGAGGAATGCAAATTTGCCTAAAATATAGCTCTGTCTCAGGCTAGTGTGTATGGTAGGGTTGTACTATCAGTAGCAGTGTTAGATAATATTTGTATGTAGATGGGTTGGCAACCTGTTAAAAATGTTTATGAATCAAATAATATAATCCTGGTTGCAATATTTAGGGTAAATCCTATGTGCCACTGCTTTTGTGAATCGCCACCTATAGAAAAATGGGGTCTGCATTATAATCTTTGAGTAACGGAATGTTTAATAGCGTTTTGCAACCTTAAAATGCCCAACAACATCCAAGCCAAAATTGTCGGCACATGTTGGCACATGGCATGGCTTGACAGCGCGACAAAACTGTGACATATCCTGTTGAGTTTTTAACTGTCCCCCACGTTCTTCTAGCTTTGTATTCTCACAAAATACATTTGAAAATCCGGCGACTTCATTCACTTACCCCAAAACATCTTGTTTATAGCCAAGCACTTGTAGAAGAAGAAAGAAGCAAACTGGCCGGGCTACACGTATGACAATGTGTCTTCTCTCCCAGACGTCCCTTGAACCATGTGTGCTCAAAACTGCAGATCTGTTACACTTCTGTATAATTTTGCCAGGTGGCGCTTCTATACGATAACATCCTGTCTGATCTACCCACAGTTCCCTAGCTGCGTCACGTCCCATTGCGGTGTAGCAGTCAATATAGTGTACGCCAAAAATGGCCTCACCAAAATCTATTTGACTCTTTTAGTGGTCAAACTACACAGTATGCGATGAAATTTGCATATTTATGATATATTATTACATACATGTGTACTTTATGAACGTGATATTGCAAAATTGATAGTTTTGAACTAACGGGGAGATCTTCGTGTAAGGCAGATTTGTCTGTTACACCGCCTATGACTGTAATCGGGGACGATAAGATCAAGGACGGCAGGAAGCACGGAGGTGGGACGCAGGTACGACACAAGCAAAACTGAAGCACACCACTGCCTCAAGGACTCAGGGAACTACTTCTCTCGTACTGTACATTACCACGAAGCCGTATCAACTCAGGTGACCCCGACACGTGGAGGATTTCTGTGCGAAACAAGAAGTTTTTTTGTGGAACGCGCGGGATCAGACGACCATTTTTGTTGAACCGGCTTCCAACATGTCAGCTGTCATCAGAACGTGAGCTGAGTGAACAATAACGCCAAACCGGACTTCTAGCACCTTCTGCGCGATTCAGCGAAGTATGATAACCATAAGGACCTGGAGGCTTTAACCAGTGTTTAAGATTTTATTACTACATTTTTCACTCAGTTGAACGGATTTGGCTCGCAGCGGACGAAACTGGCAAGATGGTCCAGCAGTACCAGTCGCCTGTCAGGGTCTACAAGTACCCGTTTGAGTTGGTTATGGCGGTGAGCAGATCTATATTTTTCCTCCTCCACACGTATCGGGCATCAATGTGGATTATTGATCGAGTAAAAACACATTGACGTCACGGAGAAAACCCTAGACAGTAGATAATTTGTCAGCCACACACACACTATTCTGACTCTGAGCTAAATTTAGGTAAACGTCATTTGCATCTGGGTCAGATCTGATGATACAGTTGTCTGTACTATATTATCATTATTGTGTGATCTACTTAATTTTGACAACAATACATGTATTATTAGGCTACAACATATACAGTACATCTACAATACAATACAAGGCATAGAGAATTTGTTTAAATAAACAAGTAAACATAATATGCATTAACGTTACATCTATCAGTAGGTTTTGCCAAAATAATTTTTTTCAGTAACAGTAGCTGCTATAGTACTAGATTGGGAAGTGTTGTATAATTTTTGACATGCTAGCTTTAACAGTTGATATTCATAATCCAACTGGGATGCCTATCCTCTTTCTGGAGAGCTGAAAGCATGCAAATGGTGTTGATACTGTTGAATTCATGAATTAGCGAAATCATGAGCCAGCCTACTCATACACCTATCGCACGTCTCGAGTGCGCCTGCGCAGACTTCTGCGGGTCAAAGGTCAATCGGTGCAAAACAAGCCGGCCGGCACATTTCGCGCCACTGGGTTTTCTGACAGAAGTAACGGACAAGATAACGGACGAGTCGTTCTAACAGCTCAGCCGACGCACCGTCGTCGGTACTTAACACAGGTACTGTTCGTATCTAAAGCTTCTGAAGATTGCGGTGTTTTGTTTTGTGACTAATTACGCGAGTGTAACTTTTAAAAAGGCGGAGTACGAGTGTCAAACCGTCCACCACCCGACAACTATTCTGATTGCCGGCTAACATATCAACGTAAAACCTAGACCTGCAATGTTTCGATGGTATCTTTTGGCGTTTACCGATCTCTTTCGTGTATGTTTTCCGTCATTTTTGCACGAACGACGATGATATTATGATATTCGTTCCGAGTCGCTGTGATACACTTCCGGCTCCGTTCATGTGGGCTCCGTTAACAAAGTGTTATGATACGCTCTCTGAAAGTTATGTT